CATCTTCTCTATCAATGCCACTGGTGCCCATGACTTTGCCATTTCACATCTGCTGAGCACTTCCCCCAGAGCAGATGGAGCCACAGAAGGGCCTTGAGGTTCACTGGCGTCAGCATGCTACTTGTTAGTACCTCGGGAAACAGGTTGCCTGGGAGTTGAAATTAAGAGCTGAAGTAAGGCTGATAATTAGTTCATGCCCTTCTGGATGCCCACTGTGAATAAGCACTCCCATCCATGGATTATAATCATTTGTGCTGTCACAGCAGATTGAAGGCCATCTATGAACTGGCCAAGGTCTATCTTTATCCATACATTTGACAAAAATACAGATGATTTCAATTACATTTATTTGGTGGGGGATTTTAAGGCATCATGCACTCAGATTTTAATTCGATAATAGTTTTTTGTTTTTTTAATATTTTATTTATTCATGAGAAATATATATAGAGAGGCACACAGGCAGAGGGAGAAGCAGGCTGTGGGGAACCCAAAGTAGGACTCGATCCCAGGATGCAGGGATCATGCCCTGAGCCAAAGGTAGGTGCTCAATAAGTGACCCACCCACGCAGCCCTCAACTAACAGTTTTAGAGTGGCACTGTTCACTAAGAATATAAGCAAAGCCTCATTTATCATTTAAAATTTCCTAGTTGCCACACTTAAAAAGTAAGATGCAAGTGCTAAAATTACTTTTAATAATATATTTTATTGGGTGTATATATATATATTGGGTTATGATATAGCCAAAATAGTATCATTTTGACATGTAACCAATATTTTAAAATCATTGAAGAGATATTTTATGTTCTTTTTTTTGTAGTAAATCTTCTAAATCTGATATATTTTCATTGTCTACCTCAAGTACTAAATTTCAACCAGAAATGCTTGGTCTGTATATAGATTTCATAAAATTTACAGTGCAAAATAGTAGATTCATTCATATATCCAAAGTTGTTCCAAACAAAAATTGAATTATTAGGTCTTAAACTTAGATTCAGTTAGATTAAAAATTCAGCTCTTCAATGCACTAGATATTTTTCAAGGGCTCAGTAATTATGTGTGTCCAGTGGCTGCCATATTGGACAGTGAGACCTGAGCACCTACTATGTGTATCACAGCAGGTTAAGACAAGGATGAGTCAGACAGAGCCCTTATTTTCCCTGGCTGGGAAAGCCTATGTACACAAACAGCAACAATGTAAAGCAGGTTAAATAGACAGGAAAGCTTCCAAGGAGGAAAGGGAATGCACAGAGGAAGGCCCATGGCAAAGACACAAACATTTAGAGATTGTTATTATGGTTGAGCATATGCCTAGGAGGGTAGAAATTAAAGTTTAAAAAGACAGCCTGGGACAGTTCTGGTGATAGCTTCAAATAGCAAGCCAAAGAGTTTGTTCTTAATCCACAATTAATGGGGAATAGGTTTCTGGTGAAGATGAATCTTTTGGAAAGATCCACTTAGTGATGATGCGGATGGCTTGGTGGCTAAAAAACCAATTAGCTTCTGAACCAGTCCAAGCAAAATATAATGAAAAACATGAGGGAGGCACTAGGTAAGGAAAGAAAATTTGTAATTTAATAAATATGTACATAAGGATACCAGGACTTGGCAATGTGACCAGGAACTCAAAGAAAAAGAGGAATTAGAGAATTCTATAGCAACTAACATAAAGAAGTGCAGATGAAAGGCTGGATGGGAAAAGTTATTTTCTAATGTATCTGCATACAAATGTTTTAAAAGGAGTCGGAAAAAAAAAGGAGTCGGAATATATGTGCACAAGGGCTGTGGAGGGGGTGGGAGGAGACCTTTGGGCAGACATGAAGTCAATATCTATTTATAGAACAAATTAGCAGAATGGGCAACTTTCTTAGAAATAATGTACACCATGGTGGGGGGCTGCAAGGAGGGAATCTGAGTAAATTATATTACAGTACTATTTGTTAGAAAGCTAGGCAGCTGTTAAAAATTACTGCTCTTAAATTATATCAAAGGATATGGAAAGCTGCTTAAGATACACTTTTAAATGAGAACTTGCAGCTTGGATAATAAGATTCCAATTTTATTTAAAAAGGATTTATAGCTAAGTTCTATATAGCATGGAAAACGTGTAGAAGGACCCATGCCATGTTATCTCTGCGGAGAAAGACTGAAGGGGCCATGGCTTTTACTTTTTATATTTTGCTTGAAATTGCTATAGAGGACACATTATTTGAATTTTGAAAAGGGAGACAAAGGAAAGGGTAAACTATGTATTCATACACCCAGAAAAATGACTGAAAGGATTTATATCAAAAAATTATCTGAGTCAAAAAAAAATATGAGTCATTTTAATTTTCTTATTACACACTTTTTTATATTGTAAAATAAATATGTAATACCTCTACAACCAGAAAAAAGTCATAAAAGGAAATAATCTATAATACGGATGGTACAGTCAATTTTAAATCTGTTTGCAAAGCCACAGGTTACAGGGCTGGGTGTTCTTTAAAGAGGTTTGGATCCAATTTCTTTTACTTCTTTGGGGCTCATGCTTACTTTTATTGCTGCTGAAGTGATTTCCACATTTTTTTTAATGATTTCCATTCAGTGTGGCCAAAAAGGAAAATCGGGGCCAACCACACGGCGAGCCTTCCTGAGAGGAGACAAAAAGCCTCTGTAACCTGTGGAATGAAAATTTTACCAGGAGAACGTGACTCTTTTGTCATGAATGACTTCAACTGCTGGTGGACAGAAATTTTTAAAGAGAACAAAGAGCATGGAAGCGATTTCAGTGCTCTTGTTGTCAATCCCTGCCAAGCACGCTAGTAACTTTATATTATAATGATGGCAACAAAGAACAAGGTATCCCATTCACCACCAGGCTGCTGCACCCAGAGGGTCCCAGGCCTTCGCAGGGCCTTTCACTGAAGTGGAACGGAGAAGGAACTCTTAAGGAGTGCCAAAAGGACTGTGAGCAAGTAAATCATCATCAACCATGTAAATAATGGCAGAGAATGGGTACGGAGATGAAAAGGTGCCTTCTGATCATTCACCAATGGAAATATGTGTACTAAATCAGGGTGCTTTCTGTCTGACATGGTTGTTTTTACTGAACAGTTAAGCGCCCAAGGAAATACCAGTTGGGTCTTAAAGACAATTTATAGCTAGGCTGGCCTCATTGCACCTGGCTGTGTTTTGACAGCAGGTTTCGTCAGTTTATAGCAGAAATTCTTGTCTACACTATAAGCTGTCACAAATGCAACTAGACCTTGGAAAAAATGTACGGCTCAGAGGCAAATCTCTCCCTCCGCCACACCCCTCCCCCTTTTAATGAAAAGTAAAAGCCTCCCACTGGTGGCAAAAACGCCTTCTCTTCAGGGGAAATTAGGGAGCCTCCAGGGACTGAGATGGTCAGCCCCAGCGTTTCAGCCCAAGTGGGGTGCGCCTGCTTCTGGGCACTCGATTAAGGACTCTTTCTTTTCTCTTCCCTCGGGGCTAACTGCTGAATACAGCGGCCTTGTTGTTTGGAGCCAGGAAATTTCGGGATTCTGCTCTCTGAGCTCCCCACTCTTCCCAGCTTTCAGGCCACGGAAAGAATGTCTGGGCGCCTTGCAACCGCCTGGTCTGGGAACACAAGGCCCACAGCTTTGCGAATGCCCTCTGCCCCCATCTGAAACAAGAAGGCAATGCTTGGCTATTTGGGATCAAACAAACCTTAACTTTGTTTCTGAGATTTTTCTACTCCGTGAATGGCTGGCTTTGGAAGTCCCCAGCTTAGAAATCACAGGACCTCATTATAATACATTCAAGATGAGAGCGCTGCCTCCCAGGACCAGGTGCTGCCTTCCCCACCTCTGTTTTGTTTTGTTTTGAGACCTCAGGATTTTATTCTTTTTTTGCTCCCAGAAGGATCGGGCCAAACAAATAACTTTTAACAGGTGTCACACGTCCCTGAACAGAAGGCATCGCATCCTTTTTAGGAACAAGTTCATGGCGGCATTTTCCCCTCTGTGATAGCAAAGACAAAGATGTGAAGAGAGGGCTGAAAAGGTAATGGAGAGCGGTCCCTCCTGTTCCTTAATTTCATGGTTCACAGACATTCGTTGACATTCAGACACTCCCAAGGGGAAGCTCATATAACCAGCCGTGAAACTAGAAACTAGCTAGCTGGGGGGGCTGCTTGCCTGGGCCCCAGCAGAGTTTGTCACAGCCATGGGGGTCCACTCCCAGGCACCAGGGCTCACCACAATGGGTCTGCAGCTGCTTGGGGTGGGGGGCAGCCCAGACAGGGAGGCTCCAGGCCTGCAGCGTCCTGTGACCAGCCCCACGCAAGATGACCCCTCACCTTCCCAGGGCCAATGCTCTGGCAGGGGTCAGACTCCAGGAAGCACAGGCCCTGGTGGAGGCGGGAGGCTCCCGGCCAGGCAGTGCCCATGGAGCTGGGGCTGGTTGGGAACATGTCTCCCTCGGAGGTGCCCACAGGCTGAGAGAGAGGGAGACACTGGAACAGCCTTCAGTGGGGACACAGACATGAATCTACATGGCTCACGCAGAACGAGAGGAGGAAACCGAGGGGTGGCTGCCCTGGGGAAATAGGGAGCAGTAAGGGCATGATGGGCAGGGGCAAGCTGCAGGCCAGCCAGCTCACTGCCACATCTGGCTGCCTTCAAAAAGCAGAGCTGGAGGCCACCTGCTCAACCACTGGCGGCTTTGAGGTGTTGCCTGGTGACACTGCTCAAAATACACACCACTCTTGGCAAGGTCTCACGTCATACATGGTTCAAGGTCAACCAGCATGTCCACCTACAGCGCCACAGCCCCTTGAGGCAGAGGCTAGAGGCACGTGCCACGACTGCAGGTGGAAAGGGTGGGAGACCATCACTCTCCCAACTTACAGATACTCCAGCTCAATCTGGTGCTTACTTTTATGTCCACACATACAAACAGGTCATTGTCAAAACCGAAACAGCAGCAAGCTTCACTACCCGTCACGGACCCTCGTGAGCTGTAATGTTGAGCGCACCTGTGGTATTCCAGAACTCTCAAGCCAGTCTCGGAAGATGTTTTCCACAGACAAGTCAAGCCTTTAAAAGTGAAAAAAAAAGTCAAGGATTAAAACGTTACAGAGCACTTATGACATGCACAGCATCTTTCTCTCTAACCTTTCGGGTACCTCCCAGCATCGATCCTTCCATAGAAGTTCCTGTTCTCTGGAGGAAGCAATGCTGTCCCAGGTCAAAGGGCAAAAGGGGCCCCAGTGATGCTCAGTGCAGCTCCCGTCAACAGGAATGTACACGATTAATCCACAAATCAGAGGCACGCTACAATCAGTGCTGTTTCTGCCTTAACAGGAACTGTTTGGCTGGGAGCACCAATTTGGGGAGGATGGGGCACGTCCCCAGGAAACATCCGGCACTACAGCTTCTTCCCGAGTTGGCAGCAACATGAAATTGGAACTCTACCGCACTTAGCGCATCGAAACGACATGTGAACTTTGTCATGACTAGGGGCTGCGACAGCACAAATGGCACAACTCATGGTCGGAGCACAGAGTGGCTCAGCTGCGGTAAGCCTGCCTGGTTTCCAGGCATCTGAAGTAGGCCCACAGGCTGCTTTACTTGAAATATTACACTTCCTCCTTGTCTAACCCAAAGTCAGCTGAAATTCTTTTGGTTTCATGTCCTGCTGATTTGAACACTCCTTAAATTTGTGAAGTATTCAGTATGTTTTTTTTTAAATATATATTTTTTTAATTTACTTATGATAGAGAGAGAGAGACAGAGGCAGAGACACAGGCAGAGGGAGAAGCAGGCTCCATGCACCGGGAGCCCGATGTGGGATTCGATCCTGGGTCTCCAGGATCGCGCCCCGGGCCAAAGACAGGCGCCAAACCGCTGCACCACCCACAGATCCCGTATTCAGTATGTTTAAGGTCAATAGACCTTAGGCTGTGTCTTCCTGGGCTAATGATGTTTAAAGCAATCCCTGCCCACTCCTAGACAACCCCTGCTCGGGTATCTGTATCAGAGACCTTCCCTGAACACTCCCCCAGATCGTGTGTGTGGCATCCAGCACGCTCCCTGTCCTCTGCATCACAACACCCAGCAGTTTGTGACAGCCACTTATTTTGATTACTTGTCCTTTAACTGTCCCCTCACTGGATCAAAGCCCTCTGGGATGGGGTTCCATGATTGTTTTACTCACTCTAATCCAGAAGGGAGAACAGTTCCTGGGATAAAGGACAATTCCCATATTTTTTATTTGAATGAATGAAAACACATTTCAGTGTTGACTCAATAGAAAGTATTCCCTTTTAATTTAAAAATCACCTTTCCCAATAAGAGATTCCCAATGTGTTAGGCTCTGAGCCTAACACAACTGAGCCTATAAAAATTTTATATATTATATACTACATATTATATACTACTATACATATAGTATCCCTGCCCTCCTTCCCTCCCTTCAGGGATTGCAGAGAAGTCGTGGAAAGATACAATGCCATTTGTCTGTGCTGTTAAGGTGCTGAAGCCAGTGTTCGGTCACCTTCCAGGCAATGCCCCAGGCTGGGCAGTCGTGAGAAAGGGAGGAGGGAGAGGCGGGCCTGGGTGGGGTTGGGGAAAGAGGCTGACTGATATTTTTGTGACCTTTTCATCCCTGGTGAGAAGCAAGTCACTGGTATGCCTCAGTCTTCCTGGGCCAGGGCAAAAGCAAAGGTTGCAGAAGGTACAACTTTTCAAAGAAAACAGGGGCAAGAGGGACTACACAAAGTAAGTGGCTCAGATGCATTTCAAGATGATGCCCACCTGTGGGATGACCAGCAGGGGAAGGGGAGTGGCCAGAAGTAGAGAAGGGGAGAATGATGACCTCCCAAGGATACTCGCACTGGGCTCCTCCAGGTTCCCAGACTCAGTGGAATCTCTGGGCGTCCTTGTATGCAGGTCTACCAGGTGTCACCATTCCCGAGCCTTGCCCCACTACTTCTTTGTGGTTCGTGTCACAGCATCAATCCAGGTGTGACTGGCCAAGCTCCTACCATAAGGAGAAACATGTGTGCGTGTGCAGCGCGTGGGGCAGGGGTGGGTGGGCAGGCAACCAGAAGAGAGAAGGTGGCTCTCAAATCACCTGAGATCCAGATCACTGTTATTTTTTGAGTTTGGTTGGCCGCACTGAGAGTGCTTGAAGTGCCCTTCACAGGCCCAAGTGATGTGCTGGCAGGGGTGAAGGCAGGGCTGAAGTGGCCTCTTAAAGAACTATCTGAGGAAACCCAACATTGTTTTACCTTCTAATGAAATGTGCAAGGCTGCGAGGGCAGACAGTGTGTAATTTCCACTAAAGGGAAGATGCTCCGGGGAAGGCCTGCTCTTGTTCAGAACAAATGTAGACCACCCCCACCTTGTCTGGCCCCTAGGGGGGGCAGTTCACTTGGTGGTGCTGGGTTCCTGGGGGTCTGGCCCTGGGGTTTCATCAGCTTTGGGGGATCTGCTGGTGCTCTAAATTGTCTGTCTGGATTGAGAGGCATGTCGGCCTTCTCTAAGTCCTTCTTTCCCTGAAGCTTCTCCTAAGCCGCCCATCCATCTGCTTCCTTTCCAGCCAGAGATGGTCACTCAGTCACTCGGGTATCGAGCCCTGGGGTCAAGTGCTGCCATCGCCCTCCTTACAGCGAATGCAGGAGAGCCAAAGCAAGAGCTGACTCTGACCTGTGCTTTGTTGTGCTGTGGCATTCTAGGGAAACGGGCATCCTTAACCTTTGCACAACTTGGGAGGAATATGAAGGTTTAGGAAGGATTTAGATAAGAGTGGTAGTGAGGATGGAGGGGTGGGTGCACCGGGTCCACATGGAGGGGGGTTCAATGTCCGGAAGAAGAGAGGTCTGGGAGTGACATCATGGCCCCTTTTGAGTGATTTTACAAAAGATGGCCAACAGCTGCTGTGCATCACTATGGAGGAGCGAGGAGAGGCCAGGGACATAAATTTTCTTCAGCAAATATTAGCTGAAACACAGTTTTAGAGGTGGCATGGGGAGGGGCTGGGGTTGGGCCCTGGAATATCGCTGAGCAAGGACCAAGTCTTCATCAGAGAAAACTGAAAAATGGGCGACACTTCTCCCTGTGGCATTGGTTTGGTGGGTGCCCACAGGGCACGAGGTTCTGTGCAGGGCTGAGATGGGAACCCCCAAAGCATGACTGTCTAATAGCAGCAGTGCCACCACGCTAGTGCAAGAGGCCCTGGCTGCCCCAGGGTCCCAGCTAGAAGCTAGGAGGTGTGTTAGGGGAGCCTTCTTAAAGGAAGCAAAGATTGAACTATGTCATGGAGGAAGACTGTGCTGTCCCCAATGATGGGGCAGGACCAGTAAAATAGATGCAAAGTACATGCATGGCAAAGGGAGCTTTGCCCAAAGCCATGCTCAACTGGGCTGGCACACAGAACGAGGTGAGGGATCCTGTAAAAATGCTGAAGTTCTGCCGCTGAGCCCTGGTTTAACTGAGGAGGCTCTGAGCATGTCTGTAGAGCGGCATCAACAAAAGGGACTTGAGGAAGAGTAACTGAGGAAAAAGAGGTTGGAGGCAGGGAGACCAAAGTGGAGGCTGTGAACAATTTGTGCCACAGTGTATGACCTGAACAGCTGCCTGGCCAACTGTGTGGTTATTCCACTGAAAAGTAGTAAGGCAAATTTTGCTTTGCAATTATTTTTGTTTTTGCACACACAGGTGCTATTATAGAGTGGCACTAAAAACAAGCAAACAAAAACCCCTGTGCCCACTACCAAGCAAAGGCATAAAAGTAATAGCTCCTGCTTGTTGAATACCTACTGTGTCTGAGGCACCGGAGAAAAAATCTCATGTAAGCTTCATGATATTTGCAAAAGACCAGTATTATTATCCTCGTGTCAGAGATGAGCAAATGCAGGTTCTGGAAAGTCAGGGACTTATCCAAGGCCACAGAGATCCAAGTCTGGGTTGCCTGGCTGCAAAGCCCCCACTTTTATTTCTTCGCTGAACTTATGCATCACGATGCATTGGTCATGATTTTTTGGTGCCGGCAGGCCTGTGGACAAGAAGGCCCATGTTGGCTCCAAATAGCACTGTCTTCTCCTTCTTGTTCACATCTCTCCTACTAGAGGCAGCCTGGCCCCTGGTGTGGTTTCCCTATTTGTCTGCCCTTGGATTACAGTTCTAAAGAGATGGGGAGACCCTTGGGAGGGGCAAAAGTGTGAGGGCAAGAGAGTTCATGGTTCAGCTGCATCCAGGAGCAAGAGACACTCTCCCGTGAATGAAAAGAACATGTGTTTTCAGATCACTTTCCTTAGGAAAGGTTCAAAGCATCTTATAACCATTATCACTTCATTCCTCATAATATCCTTGTGAAGTGGGTGTCAATTGTTGTGTGGCTCCTAGCAGATGGAGAAACTGCAGCACAAGAAGACTGGCCAAAGTCAGGCCAGACAAAGGGCTAAAGAAAAGATCCAGGTTTCTAGACTCCCAGTAACAGTGCAGACTGAATCGTATTGATGCCTGTTTAGGGATTGCTAACAGGGAATGAGATTTTAAACTATGAGAGGATGATGAAAGCAGTAACTCCAGCTGCTAAAAAAATTTTTTTACTGTACTATAGGTGGCCTTACTTCCCAAGGAAATTATGAGAAATGTGTGATAATGCTGATTTTTTTTAAGTAGACTCCACACCCAATATGGGGCTCGAACTCACAACGCCAAGATCAAGAGTCGCATGCTCTACCAACTAAGCCAGTGAGGTGTCCCAATAATGCTTAATTTGCAAGGAAGAAATGAACTGCATATTTGGAGGGAAAAAGTAACAATTATGTATTTTTTGCTGTTTCAATCATAATTATTGAGATGACAATACAGGGGAATTTTTTAGGTCTGGGCTTGGATAGGTAGGCATGGTAAAGCAAAAGTTGACTTTTTCAAATCAAGACACTGAGAGTGTAAGCCAATGGTGAATGTTTCCCCTCTGAGATCATGTGGCTTAAATAATCACAACAACAAGCAGAAGCATTTCCACTTTGCTGGGACCCAGGACTTACAGGAAATTACTCTTCTGCATGTCTGATCACTATGGAAATTGATTTTATACAGATAGCTAAAAGTACACAGACCCACGACTGCATGCCCCCATATTTGTACTAGTGAGAGTTACCTCCGCCTCATTACCCAAGCCTCCTGGGTATCTGGAACAGCAGGTTGTTTTACCCTCTGGCTAGAGAGTTCCCTCTCTGCACTCCTACATCCTGTAAGGCAACTCTGAGGCTCAGACGTCTGTCTCCAGTTCCTCTGAGCTATAAATGTGGTCACACGTAGTTAACACAGCAGGGGAGAGAGTATGTTGGACACTGGGGCATAATGCTGATGAGAGAAAAAAGCTGTGTTTAAAGCTGAGAAAGTTGAAAGGCAGTGGCTCTTTTCTTCGTGATGTTAACATGCATAGAAATAGGCCCAGGCTTGTATGAAAATGGTATTGCACTTGCTATATCGCTTGTTCAGTTGATTTCTGAGGGCAGAGGGACGAGGATGGCGGGACTAACAGCTGTATCTGCCACTTGTGCCTATCAACTTGCTGCCAATCAGAAGAGAGGTCTTCATCACTCTCGGCTCCTACCACAGCCCTTGAGATTCTAATGATCATGTCCTCTCTGCACCTCTGAAGGAAAGCATAATTTTCACAACCTTCTAAAGCCCCCCTCACAACTTTCACATGAACTAAACCACAGATGGAATGGACTTTGGAAGTGCAGGTACTGGGTGAATGCAAGCATTGGGGCCCTCAGTGCTCAGGGTCTGAAATGGAAAAGCACTCATTTTGCAATGCAACCAATATTCTTCACAGATTTGTAGATTTTCATAATTTAGGTTTTTAAGTTCCCTCTCTACATGTGGATACAAATAGTGTGCATCTTAGAACTATGCATATGGTTACTTGTTACCTAATCAAAAGGAGTCGTTTGTGCTTGGGCAGATAATGAAGATGGCTGAGGTCACATCTATAAGTGAGCATTCACCAGCTCCATGGGGGAGGGAAGGCAGTGAATGAAACCAAACACATGAATATGCACAGGCAGACATAATAACACATGAGCAAAGAAAGAGCACAGTTGGTTAAGTGTCTGACTCTAGGTTTTGGCTCAGGTCATGATCTCAAGGTCGTGAGGTTGAGCCTCACGTCAGGCTCCAAGCTCAGCATGGAGTCTGCTTAAGATTTTCTCTCCCTCTCTCCTCTGGTCTCTCCCTCTCTCTCAAATAAATAAGTGAATCTTAAAAAAAAAAAAAAAAGAGCCACTGTTGATATGGTTACAGTATCAGGTGGGCAGGGCACTCACTCTTATATGAGGACTCGCTGGTGCCCAGGATCTGCTTGGATTTCCTTCTAAGCATTTTTAGCTTTTTCTTCCCTTGGTCTCAGAAAACATCAACATTTGCACAGAAACCTCACATTGAAGATGTCTAAAACACAACTCCTCCCTTCCTCCTTCAAATGCTCTCCCTTCCACTCTCTCCGCCCCCCACTAATTCCCGAGACAAACTCCCCTGCCCGCTCTGCTTCAGTGCTACTTCAGAGTGTCACTGAGTGGCCAAGAATGAGAGATCAGGTTCCAGCTCTAGATCTCCTGAGTGAACAGCTGTCTTGAGGGGCGCCTGGGTGGCTCAGTCGGCTAAGCAACTGCCTTCACCTCAGGTCCTTCAGCTCAGGTCGTGATCCCAGAGCTGCAGGATTGAGTCCCGAGTCTCTGTGCCCCTGCCCCACTCATTCTCTCTCTCTCTGTGACTTCTAGTCCACCCATCTCACATATACCTTCCACAGCATCCCCTAGAGCATCTTCCCAATCTGCTGATGGCACTTTCCTATTTAGAACTTTTAATGGCACTTCTTTACCTGAAGGCTCGAGGCTAGGACACTTGGGCCTTTCCCGGTGTGCCAAGGACTCTGAAACTCCCAAAAGCACTTCCCACACTGAGTCATAATCTGTTTTCATGCCTATCTCTATGTTGATTAGGAGCATCCTGTAGGCAGGGGATGGAACCTATTCCTTTCTGTCCTCTAGTCTCCAGCCTAAAGCCTGGTACAGGAGGTGCTCAATGGGTAAGTTAAATTAATCAGAGCAGGAGAACCATGCAAAAACAGTGTGACATAGAGGATACTGGCCTCTGAACACTAACTGGCTGGTCTATCTGAAGAATCTTGCCCCGCTCACAATGGCTCACATGCCTGACAGATGTGCCCAAGGATCAGCTTGCATCAGGGCCACAGATTGGAGGCTCCAGGGGTAGGTGTGGGACCTTTGGAGACCCAGATAAAATTGGTACAATATGCTGCATAAATAAAAGGCCAAACGGTCTGTTTTAATACCTGAATTAGATTCTGAGGTTAGCAGGAAAGAAGATGCTTGAATTTCAAAAAGTATTCTGATATACTTAAATACTTAAAAGTTTAAGTACTGAATACTTAAAAGTATTCTGAAATAGGTTCATTGCAGGAAGGAAATCACCTTAACTTTTAAGGGAAATTTTAAAAGGCAGCTTAAACCTGTTGGCCTAAATATGACCCTGACTGAGTAAGGTGTCCTCTCGGGGTGGGGTGTGAAGGTTGGTGGTCAGTGGCCACCCTTAAACAGAGATACTGCTCTGCCACCATGGCAACAAAAATCTCTTTATGGGCTCAACAGCATGTTCCTTGATACATATTCAAAATGATAAGATCCAGGTCCCCTGGAGCCAGAGGGCTCGGGGCCACACCCATGAACTTCATAACCTTATTAGGAAGAGGATGAAAAGAAAGAAGCCCTCCCAAACTAAAAATGCACTTTGTTGCTTCTGTGAAATTTGCTGTATTTGTGCCCTAAGAAATTCTTCCAAAATAATGTATAGTAACAGACTTTGGTAATAGGAATACACCATTTCTAGTAATTGTCTTTTCTTTTTTTTCTTGTATTAGTTTCTAAGGAAACTGCTCCATTTTATCAGGAAACTCAAAAAGTTATTCCAGGGCAGGTACAGAAGAAAAGGTGAAAAAAAAACATATCTTGCAGGTAAACTGCTGTCCTGACCTTAGGAACAATGGCCACATTTGATGCGATTCTTGCAAGAAGAAAATCCATGTGTTTGTGTAAAAAGAAAGGATGGTAAATCTGAAACATTTCAGACTTTCCAAAACAAGCCACACTTCCTTCAAAGCAGCCTTTCAAAAAGCTAATTATCTTAGCCAATTACTAAGGCTTCATGCAATCTCCCTAGGTAAGACTTCCTTCGGCATCAAAAAGCATGAACAGAGAGAGGTAGAGATAAAGAAATTTATCAAATAATATGGGTATGCTCATTCTGTATGATGCACTGGCTTGCTTTATGTGTGTGTGTTCACATTGAATTTAAAAAAAACAAGCAGCTGACAACGCTTCTCTTGAAGCAAGAATTGGGAGTAGAAGGTGGAAGATGGGGAGATTAAACAAAAGGCCAGGCAAAGATCAAATACCAGTCTAAACTCTGATGTAGGTCCCTTCTCTCCTGAACATGCCTCAGTGCTTTTACTGATAAAGTAGGGACAGACATGCAATGCACCTAACAGTGCTGGCTGAAGGACCAACTGAGGGCCTGCACGTGGAAGTGCTGGCCTACAATAAGCACTATGATGACGACAGTGGTGGTGGAGTACTGTAATAAGGATTATGTGATTTACTGTATGTAGATCCTTATATACAAGGCCTGAGGCCCAGAAGATAACTATTCCTATACCTGTAACAATCATCGATTGTACACCTATCACAGAGGTTATCTCCTGTATTACCCCCAAGGGTGAAAACCTGAAATTTGGATGGATGAAGTAACTTGCTCCAAATCTCAGAGTTGGGAAGGAGCCACACTGGGGTGAGAACTTAGGAGAGCCTGACTTCAAATCCCATGTTCTTATTACTGCACTAGACTTTTCCTTCAATTAAATAGCATTTCCTTATATTAAGGCATGTTAACTAGAGAACCCGAACTTAGAACTTCCCTCTCCCCCACTCTTTTTCACAGCAGCTGAGGCCATGAAGTGTCCTTGGCTTGTCTCTCATATTACTTTCAGGGTTTCTGACCCTGGGCCTTCCCTCCTAACACTGCGTGCTCTGGCTCCCAACATCCATGTGGGCCTAGTTCTAAGTCTGGTTTATTGTCTTGGGACTCCTACTGCCTGCGTTAGGTCCCTACTTCTGTTAAGGGATGAAGATGGAACTTTCTAGACTGTAACAAGCCAAACAATGGCAGGGTCATTTTTAACATTAAAAGTAAAACTGGGCTCTTAATTCCTAAATTGGTCCTCACCTTTTTCCTTCTGGGATGTTCTCCAACAGCATTTGAAGGAAATCCTGGAATAAGAAAAAAGCAAATCATTAAAGATGTCCATCAATAAATAACTCTGTCCGGAATCATGCCAGGGCCCGAGTGCTCCCAGCTGCTGACAGATCACCTGCTAGGAAAGTTAGGCCTGTGTTGACTTATTAGACTATATACACTATTTATTAATTTACCAGGGCTTCAAGCCAATCAGTTAAAGAGATTTGTTTTGTAAAAACCGCAAATTGAAAAATGTACTGTTTGTTATTTTTACCTAACCCAAAAGTTTATTTCAAGTTTAACTATTTTCAAAGGCTGACCATAGATAGCATAAAGCATAATCCTCTCTACTTAACCATGTTTCCCTCCTCCTGAGCTTTCCTTAGAGATCCTGTTACACCTCAACACTCTCAACTCTAAGAGGCTAGTAACTAACTTACAACATTCTTGCATTGTTCTATGGAAAGATAAAGACAGGGGTGCCTGGCTGACTCAGTCAGTAGAGCAAGGGACCTTTGATTTCAAGGTTGTGAGTTTGAGGCCCACACTGGGTATAGAGATTACTTAAAACAAAAACAAAACAAAACAAAACAAACTGAAAAAAAAAAAAAAAAGAGATGAAGACAAAAATCAAGACAATATCCCAGTGGAGGAATAAAGATGTCACAATTGGAATGGTTCAAGGGTCCCTGCCTTAGTCTGAAGCTGCTTCTAGTGCCACCATGCAATCTTCTTTCATTTCACATTTAGGATCTTTCAATAATAGATTTTTTTTTAACCTAAATGCATAACTTAGACACACCTATTTTTCCCCCTGTACTATGGAAGTTTTCCAACACACTCAAAAGTGGAGAATATAATTAACCTTCATGTACCCATCAACCCACAGTCAATCTGTCCTAACCTCTCACCTGCCTCCTATACTATTAAGAAGTGAATCCCAAATGTTATATGATGTCATCAGCCAATGTTTCAGTAAATATCTCTAAAAAATAAGGACTCTTTTAAAAACATAACCACAGTACCATAGGCCTAAACAAATTCACATATGAATGTTCAAGATTACATTTATATTTAATTCGCACCTTAAGTTTTGTGACCAATCTCTTCAGCCCATTTAATTCTAGAATCTTCATTTGGTCTCAATCAGATTTGTCAGATAAAATACAGGACGCCCAGTTAAATTGGGGGCATACACTAAAAAATTATTTGTTGTTTATCTGAAATTTGAATGTAAGTAGGAATTGTACATTTTTATTTGCTGAGTGACCCAAGGCCAGTGTTAACCTTAAGTTATCTGAAGATTTGATAAGATACATTTTGAATAAATACAGAACATGAAAGAGAGAAGAATATTTAACTTTTTGGACTTGATATTGAACAATAAATAAGATCTATACTTCAAGTTTTTCTTTTAATAAACTAAAAATAATCTTTTAAAGCAGGTCTTTTTTTTTTTAAGATTTTATTTATTTATTCATGAGAGACAGTGAGAGAGGCAGAGACACAGGTGGAGGGAGAAGCAGGCTCCACACAAGGAGCCCAAAGCAGGACTCGATCCCAAGACCCCGGGATCATGCCCTGAGCCAAAGGCAGACGCTCAACCACTGAGCCACCCAGCTACCCCTAAAACAGGTCCTTTAAAGAGGGGCCTGTGTGTAAGCCCAGATGACCAATTATGACACTACCACACCAGAATTCCTTCAGAAAGAAACCACACCCTTCTCCTCACCCCCAAGAATCAAGTCTGCAGATCCAGAGTCAGCACAGGGCTCTGATGAGTTCCATTTAAGACTCAATGAGATGGAAGCAGCACCGACGTTCATATTATAAACAGATGGAATTAGATAGGAATGGAAATCTACAAACAATTTGTATGATGTGGTGTTCTCTCCACCATGGCACTAAGCACAGACACTGTCCCTTTCTGTGTGCGTACAGGTGGCTAGGGCCATTTCTGCCAGCAGCAAAGTCTTCCTATTAAGAGCACTAATGAAAGATTTATTTCTCCTAACTTCTGTTCTCCAAGTCAGTATATGTCTATTGCTGCTTCACCTACAATAAATGATACAAAGATACAATTAACAAAACTAATATTAAAAACATGGATTGTGTAGTCTAAATGGAAATGGACAATTCCAAATAGAATAATGTCTCACATCCTAGCACCTGCAGTGGCTATATGGAAAAGAAAAGGAAATAAGTACTATCTAGAATGTGAAGAATTATTTTTAAATAATTCTTAATAATTTTTAATGATAATTTTTAAATTATTTTCATTTGAGGTTCTTAAAGCCATTATTTTTATAATTTTAACAATTATTTTACAAAAAAGTTAAATAATAAATTAATTTATCACAATCTGATATATTGATTACTTTGCAAATATTTTACTGGCTTATTGGCAGTATTCTTGCTTCTTAAAAATTTGAGTGCTATAATGATAATTTCTTACTAAATTTGCTTCATTACCTCCTTATAGTCCATATCAGCTTATCCCATGTTTGTCCAGTTATTTATGCTCAATTATATGGGGAAGGAGAAATGACACTAACTCAATGACAAGGGGGAGAAATTGAATTGCAGGAGGAGCAGGAAATTCAGAGTTAACCTTAATTCTGCCCTTTTACATTTTCCAATTACAATTGGATCTTTCTTTATAGGACTGCAAAGTACAATGTTCCAGATTTCATGTGAATACAGGAAAACTACAGGAGGTCCCCAAAGAATCTTGCTTTATTTTTAAGAAACCTTGTTCTACCTCCTAGTAGGTGGCCACCTGTCTCTCCTGCCTTAGGGCTGAGACCTGGAGGTCACACAGCAGCTTGCTAGAGGCTCCCCACCAATACTAGGGACAACAGGTCTAGAGGATCACAATGGATCACAAAACCCCAGCACCTCGAGCACCTCTAAGTCATGGCACCTGTATTCCCACAGGCTATGTGAATGCCCATCCACAGTGCCAGACGCTCTGTCGAGGCTCCATGCAATCCAAAGAGATTCTTGGCCCATTGCTGCACCAGCTATCATTGGAACCAACCCTATTGGCCCTTCTTACTCCTTTAATAGACCCAATCGTTAACCATGACATGCTAGTTTTCCTGATTCTTTTTGTAAACTGGAATACACCCTTAGAGTGGACTTATTATAGAAGCTTTTCCCCACTTTCCACAATAGGAGGACATAAAAAGAAAAATACCTCCTATGATTATTCCTTCCCTAATCAACATCTTTTCAATTCTTTCATCTGTCTCCCCTCTTCCCTTCAGCATGTTGGCAATTTTGTAAAGGCAAATTACAAATCCTAACTGGACAAGGAGAGCTTCCTTCAAGTCTGATTCTAGAATTGTGAACAAAGTTAGCTGGCAACAAATGCCAGAATCCTAGTTTGTCACCACTACAGTATGCCAGAAAAAGATTAAAATCAAAGGCAAACAAACAAAAAACAAAAAAAACAAAGAAGGCCTCCTGCTGTTTTGACTGTGGGCTAGGATACAATTTTATGTGGATCCTTGGAAATTGTTACAAGGCCTCACTCCAATCAAAAAATACATTCCTCGAGAATATTTTTTCATTTTTTATTCTCCTAATAATCTACATGCTAGCCAGGTCAGTCCCAGGCAGCTTATTTTGATTAATATCTAACAATATTACATTATGCATGATTTAAAAAAAAAAACTATACTGATTTTTGGTACATGGGTAATTTGGTAATTATTTTTTAGTCCTGATAAAAATATTCAATAAAAAGCAGGTACACATAGATTCTACCAGATAAACTGGCAATGGCCTGATAATTGCACAGGTTTAGCAATTTCTTTCAGATGTTTTATGAATAATTACCATGGTCATGGGGAGGTGGAAGTAAGAGAGACAAAAAAAAAAAAAAAACAAACCATATAATTTAAGCAAGGACAGCGTTGGCAGGATAAGGACTGAGACATGAAATGGCCAAGAAGAAGTCACTGCTAACTTGCAGTGGGAACTAGGACAGGGATAATACCATAATGTTGGACAGGCGGGGTGTTCACAAAGGAAAAAGATTATGAAGCAAATTGGAAAAGGAAGAAATTGAAAGACTTCTGAAAAAAGAAACTGGATCACAGCCTTCCTTATCACTACAAAGCAAAATAAACAAAAATACAATCCACTAAAAGGGGGGGGGGCAGAAATGTTACCAGCAGCATCCAAACAAGTAAAGAAGGACAGCTTCATGGCATAAACTTCAAAAGGAGACAACTAAGGAAAGAAACATAAGATTCCAACACAGGTCTCAACCCTCCCTCTCTACCACCCCCAACCTCATGCTTAGCAGTAGGGGGACTGGTGAATTGCCCAAACCCTGCAAATTCTCACAAATACCCACACATTTGGAAAGAAACAGGAATATCTTTATCTTTCCTCCTTTCTTCTTCTTCTTCTTCTTCTTTTTTTTTTTTTTTTTTTGTGACCATGAAGAGACTAGAAATGTTTATTGGAGAGAGATGAGCAAAAGTTGGGTAATAAAACCAAAGAGGATGCTCTTTGATGAACTGCAGAGCTTCTAGAGCTCCATGCTGAACTCGAGAACCAATATTAATTGAGAGAATAGCTGCAGTTGGGAAAAAGCTGCACCCAAATTAGGTGAAGGAAATCTTGGCTGGGAACATTTTACAAAATTTTAAGAGTTAGTGGAGCTAAATTCTTACAACAAAAGCTGTATGCAGCTCCAGTGGAGCTCTTCCCCTCCACTCCCTCCATGCATAACATCCAAGCTTCAAATTATAGCTCAGATGAAAGAAAACATGTCTACAAAAAGTTGGGAAAGAAATCAAGAATAATGTTCCAATACATATGAGAATAAATAAAAGGTCAGGACAGGGCTACTCATGCTGAGAATAACCAAGAAGGAAAGTATGGCAACTATTCAGATTAATGTAACAAAAACCCACATAGAGAGACAGCACTAAGAAACATGGGATAAAAGACAGACTCCAATCTCAAAGAAAACATAATCCAAGAAACAGAAGAAACTTTTCTATGATTGTTTTAC